ATAACAAGTGAATTAACTTAACGTTCTACACACCTATAAAACTTTTGCTTTGTTTTCTATTGTTAATTAATATACATTTTTGTTTTAAGAAATTGCTAAACATTTTCGTCTAGTACTGTACAGTTCTAGCCGATCTCCTAAGACCGCCCATCGAGAGCTCTGCTCGTTTAAGCTTGTTCCAATTATTTCTGTTTTGCTCACGCCTAGTGTGTATTCTTTCTATCTTCGCGCAGATTTCTTCAAGGTCACAATTCTAACAAATTGAAATAGACTGTATACTCAAGTAGAGTTTGTCGAAAATAAAATCAGATGATAGAAAGGGAATGAATTCGCATCGGTTGTTGTTAGTAGCATATCAAGTTGGCATATTCCGGAAATAGCCGTTTTCTTTCTCAGAATTGATAATAGATACAAATTAGAACCCGCATGAATACATGTTCAAATTCAGGTAGGTAACATTACAATATCAAGTAAAGGGTTGTTTATTGCCACATGGTATCTATAAATTGATATTCATAACACTGATACCAAGTTAGTACATCTAAATGGTTTATTTCAACTTCTTATCTACTTTATTGGTAGATCAATTAACGACAGTTTAAATAGCGGAATTAATAATCGAGTAGTCGAGAGTCAGATCCAAGATCACAAATAAGGGCGGTGAGGCGGCTTGCCGTCTTCAGTCACCGTGTGATGGTTCCCTGCCTTTCTACTTTCCCAATTACGTATATCATAATGTAAGCTAAGATTATCATTTTACTATTACGTTATTAATTAACTAGAATTAAATTGTTGACCAGTTATTCTAAATTATATAATCCGCTTTCAATATTAGATTTAAAGTAATTATATCCCATTTCCAAATATTTAAAATTCGTTGTTGTATAACATGGTGGAGTAGTTATACCTCAAAATGAACATATAAATTCGCTTCTTTATGAAATTATAAGCAATGGTGGGTTAGGACTAGGTCATGGGGGATTTTTGGGAGTTATATATTATTTTTATCGATTAATTGTCAATTATCAGATTAAATATGAAGATTGGAATAACTTTGGCGGTTTGTAGGACAACTACAGTGTCGTGTTTTGGCGTTGGGGTTTTGAGCTATTTTGTTTGTTCTACAATTATCAGATTGACTTTTATTTCTGTTATGTTCTGGCCATGAGGTAGCTAGTTAATGAAATTATTTTAGTTTGATAATGGATTAAAAACCACATAAAAAAAGCTTTGAGCATTTCAACATTTTTCAAAATGTTTAATAGGTCACCAAACACGAATCACAGTATAATCGAGTGGAAGCTTTTTCAAAGGAAACTAGTTCACCAAAATTGCAACTCAATCCATCTCCCGTGGCTTTATTGCAGTGCAATAATAGAGACATTTAATATTTGTTAGTCAGACAGACGGATGAGAGAATAATTGTTGTTTATCTTGCCGGAAAGGAGGGCAATCCGTAGTAAGTGAGATATATTGTCGTGTGTGGTGTATGCGATAGACATAGACAAACTCATGTTGACATTGGTCACCATATATTTTAATAACGAAAGTAATTTTAACGCTAACAATGAAAACTAAACAATTCAACTTCACGTAATGAGATATTGCTTCAGTAATATCAGTTGTATGTAATCCAATTACTACATCTTATTTAAATAAAATATATGTTATCTTATTAAAAATAAAAAGTTCTCTAGATCTCATCAGCACACATTTCTTTTCTGTTGGGTACACGTCCGTATCACGAATATAAACTACATGATCGATTCAGTTGGGCACAAGCCAGCAAGTTTAAGAAATTGTAGCAAACCCTATATATTTTGGCTTCTTAGGGTAAACTTAGTACTCTCTTATAGCTATTATACATGAGACGAAGACTCCTTAGCCTCAGCGGCGTTCTACCAGTATACACCGAGAAAATTTATATGATAACGCAAAAATTGCAACTTTTAATTGTAAATGACTGATTTTGACGTAAAAATAATAGAACTTATTTTTTAATAATTTCAATTTTGACACGTTTTTTTAAAAATTATTTCAAGTTTCTTAATCATTACAATTAAATTTGTAATGTCAACTAAAATACCTAGTAAATTTATTTCTGCTGGAATTTTGTTTTTACAAATAAATTGTAAATCATCATCATGATAAGGTCGTCAGTCCTAAGACTGCTTGGAAACATACCTCCATTCTTTCCTCCTATCCTGAGCTAAACTTCGCATTTCCCTAAAAATAGAACAACCCACATCCTTAACTATTTGCCTTAACAGTAATCTAACCTAGGTCTACCTCTACCCCTACTCCTGTTTCTGCCTCTAATATGTCTCTAGACTAGATCGTCATGCCTGAGAAGGTGTCCTACCAACCTATCTCGCCTATTTCTTATTGACTTCCATAGTCCTCTATTCTCCTATTCTTTCTAATACCTCTTCTTTTCTAACCTTTTCTATCCACGGTATCCTCATCATTCGCCTGTAACACCACATTTCGAAACGCTTCTAACCTTTCTTTTTCCGTCGCGCCCACTGTCCATGTTTCGACCCTGCACTATCCTCTGCTGTATATCCCTACTACTCCTTCCGTCCTGACTTATCTGACTTCCTAGATATCTAAAATCAGTCGCTTTTTCTAATTTTTCGTCTCCTATCTTTATATTCGCTCTTTCCTTACTTTTTCTTCCCTTGCATACCAGTATTTTAGTTTTACTTTTATTTATTTTCATACAGTACTGATCTAAATCTCCCTTGCTAGATGCTAATACTGCTATATCGCTTTAATATTTAAGTAAATTTTTCTTTTTCATTTTCTCTGTGTACCCATCCCTAATGATCGGCGCACTCGCCATTCTTGTATCATTATTAATCAAATATGAACTCGAATAAGAAAACAACTGACGTTTTTTATTAGCTACAAACTACTCTGCCAAACATTCAGGTAATTCCATTCATTTAATAAATATTTGCGATTCCGATTGCTCTCAAGACGCTCTCGAGCTTGACGCTGTTGGTTGCCATGTCAGCAAACAGCGAAACACTAATTGCGCTTTGTTTGTCCCGTTTGTAATTATTGTTAAAAGGGGGAGCTGCGTACTAATTAATTCACGCGAATAATTAAGAACAAAGGCGCGAAACATCGTTTACATTATATTGTATACGTATTAAACAAGCGAACACTTCCAAATTCTATTCCATTATTTAGGTAGTCACAATTGTCTGATTCGGAGATTTTCCCTTATCACAATGGTTGAAGCTTATGAAAAATTAGCGGGCTTTTCAATTCAAATTATACTAACTTATTTGTTTCTCTATTTAAATTTAGATATTATATCATACGGTCATTTGTAAGGGTAGAATTACATTACCTATGTATATACGACTATTACACTGTTTACTACATTGATACTCCATGATATCAATCGTAGTAGCGTGATATTATCCCACATGTCTAGACTGTTGTAATTGCATACTTATAGACTTACCCAGAAAGAAGTATATCGAACAGCTATTTTAAAACATTCAAATACTACAAACATTAGAAAAAATCTAGACTCACCCCCACACAGAAGAAACAAACTCCTGGACACTGGAAATCTAAAAAAAATGTTACTATTATTACTGTATTCAATATCTTATATAACGTATAGGAAAACATAAATATTAAATTTTTATCATTTTCAACAAAACCCAAAAGTCTCATTCAATAAGTAAGCTATATACCTTGAGTTTTACTTGTCCTATATTGTCAGAGATATTTTTATTTTTACGAATAAATTAACTCAAATCCGCATCAAACTTTTCCAGTTTCCTATTATTACTGAAATAAGTAATTGGAGAATGACGGTCAAATTCTTTATTCGATGTTTTGTTAGATTCAATTGTCTACAGTTACATCTGCAGAGTAATTACTTTTAAATTACATACTAATTGTTTCATTTTTTTCTAATTTCAACTAAACTATTGGGTCTAACGGAGGACTACATGGTAGTCAATAAGAAATAAGCAAGATAGGTTGGTTGGACACTTTCTCAGGCATGAAGGTCTAGTCAAAGACATATTCGAAGCAGAAACAGGAGTTAAGAGGCGTAGAGGTAGGCCTAGATTAGATTACTGTTCACAAATAGTTAAGGATGTTGGATGTTTTGGTTTTAGGGAAGAAAAGATTATCTTAGGATACGAAAGAGTCGAGGTGCGGGTCTTACGACTGACTTCCTTATGAAAACACCACAAATGTCGCGGTAAACGCCACCTGTAGTACGATGCTACATTTTAGGATTACATATGCTCCAACAAGGTCCATTTAAATATATGGCTATCTACTTGCTGAAACGAATCCCGGCGTAGCTAACCTCAACGTGATATGCATGTTACCATAATCGAATAAAATAATTCGAAGTGGTCTGTATTCTGTCGAAACCGCCAGACGCGGATTTGTTCTTTTTATCGATCGAATTATTTATTTTATTTGATTATGGTAACGTGCCTAACACGTTGAGGTTAGCTACGCCGGGATTCGTTTCAGCAAGTAGATATCCATATATTTAAATGGACCTTGTTGGAGCATACGTAATCCTAAAATGTAGCATCGTACTACAGGTGGCGTTTACCGCGCCATTTGTGGTATTTTCTAAAACGCGCTGTTAAGACAGCAGGTAAAAGTTGGTCTGTGTTCTGTCGGAGCTGTCTGCGACGCGCTGATGAGATCCAAAAAGATCGAAATCGCGATCCGCGTCTGGCAGTTTCGACAGAATACAGACCACTTCGAATTATTTTATTCGATTATGGTAACGTGCCTATCACGTTGAGGTTAGCTACGCCGGGATTCGTTTCAGCAAGTAGATATCCATATATTTAAATGGACCTTGTTGGAGCATACGTAATCCTAAAATGTAGCATCGTACTACAGGTGGCGTTTACCGCGCCATTTGTGGTGTTTTCTAAAACGCGCTGTTAAGGCAGCAGGTAAAATTTGGTCTGTGTTCTGTCGGAGCTGTCTGCGACGCGTTGATAAGATCCAAGAAGATCGAAATCGCGATCCGCGTCTGGCAGTTTCGACAGAATACAGACCACTTCGAATTATTTTATTTGACTTCCTTATGATGATGATTAGGTCTAGGACTAGACTAAGTATTGCTCATATGAAAACTAATTCCACCACCAATTCCTACCCTTGTGTCCCTTGAATTTGCTTTTCATGTTCCACAACAAAGGAAAATGAAAGAAGTGAACAAAAAAGCGGACTTCATAAACGAATAAGCCAGGTCGACGATGATACCGTTTGAACTGCTAATTAAAGGCGATGTCGAACAGGGCGGCGAATCTTTTAGGGGGAGAAAGTGAGATTAGGGAATGAGAAATGACGCTCGCGTTCGTTAGGGGTTGCAGTTAGTTAGTTAGACGTTGCCAAAGGATCTACTACACACGCAGGGGTTTCATCCAAGAAAAGGCCCATCGTCGCCGAGACGGTGGTGGAAAGACGTCGTCGTAGAAGATTATATTCCTGTTTGCGTAGCTCGAAACAGAAACGGTTTCATTACGAAATCGTAGACAACCAAATTAGACATCACAGTTCCAGTGATTAAAGGAAAGTAAGGACTACAGTAAACATGAAATGTACAGTCAGAGCGTACAAAATAGTTGTCAATTTCTTTTTAAAACATAATAAAAATTTTAGAAAACGCACGTTCCTTTATATATTTGAACTAACAAGCTATAACTAACTAAGAATACGCAAACTGGACCTCTAGAGGTTAACCCACTTATTAACTGACTGCGTGGCCGTTATTGGAAAGCATCAACATCCAATTTTTGGTAAAAACTCTTATGAAATGGATTAATGTCCAGTAAAAGCGCAACAACCACTACAATAATGATACAAATCCAGGACGACCCTTGACATTTGTCTAGTTAATTTTTTGCCTAAGCGAGATGACCATTGCGGACTTCTTCCCAAAGGTCAAGCAATAAATCTTTTTTTTTAAGTAGAACGATCGCGTACGTCTGGTAAGACAAAATCTGTATGATGACAGGTACATTCATGTACATTCAACAGTAATTGTCCCCAAGTTTCTGGCCTGTAATTCATTCACCACGCTTGATCACCCTCCCTGCTCATCATCAGCCCAAATCCCCTGCGATTTTCCTTTGTTCCCTAAATTCACGTGAGGGAGGTGCTGGGGGCATTTTAGAGACAACAAAAAATGGAACAAAAGGCCAGTTGAAGAATCTGACTTCTGACGACTTTCAGGTTACAGGGATGCTTTAAATAATGTGCACATAGATCTGATAAGTGCATTATAGCAAACGGGTAACCTTCGGATGGAGATTAAGATTAGAATACTGTAAATTTTATTAACCGTAGTTCTCGTTTTTATTGAACAAACTTCGTAAGCAACATAAATGAAAACATTTTCTTTTCGTAAAAATTGTGATGATATCCTAAATTACAAAAACGAGAACTAAAACTTTCATTGAACGGCTATTATGTCCGTTTTTTTAAGCTCTCTTGGGCATTGGGATAATTTAAAATTCAGCCACGACGTAAGCCACACGTCATCCCGCTCTATTGAATTCCCATGAGGTCCTCACAATCGTTCGGAAAGAATACAAAATACCATCCACTTCCGAACCATTTCCGTCCGCCAGGCTCACGCCGACGAACGTTTGTGATGTATTCAAGTCGATAATAATGCAATGCAAGATGACGTACAATACGAGGGTGGATTGATAAGTTTCCGGCCTGACCAAGAAAAACAAGGTTTTTAAAAATTTTTTTTTTTTATTTCTCAACATAATCTCCTCCAAGGCTGATACATTTCTCATAGCGGTGTTCCAGTCTATTAATGCCATCTCTATAGACTGATTCGTCAAGCTCCTCAAAATAACCATTTACAGCTTCGATTACTTCTTCATTGTCCGCAAATCTCTTACCGCCAAGCCATTTTTTGAGATTAGGGAACAGAAAATAGTCACTCGGGGCTAGGTCTGGAGAGTAAGGAGGGTGCGGCATCAATTCAAACTTTAGATCGTTGATTTTAGCCGTCGCAACGATTGACGTGTGCGCTGGTGCGTTATCGTGATGAAACAAGATTTTTTTCTTCGCCAGATGAGGTCGTTTAATTTTCACCTCGTGGCTCAAACGTTGCAATAAGTCTGCGTAGTATTGACCAGTGATAGTATTACCCTTTGCAAGGTAATCAATGTATATAATACCTCTTGCATCCCAAAAAACAGTAGCCATAACCTTGTTCGCCGAAAAAATTGTTTTTGCCTTCTTTGGAGTTGGTTCCCCTGGTCCAATCCACTGTTTAGACTGTTCTTTGGTTTCAGGAGTGTAGTGGTGGACCCACGTTTCGTCAACGGTTACGAATCGACGCAAAAATTCGCTTGGATTACGCTTATACAATGACAAATTTGCGGTAGAAATGTTTTTTCGAATCAATTTTTGGTCGACTGTTAGCAAACGCGGCACCCATCTTGCACAGAGCTTTTCCATATGCAAATGTTGGTGCAAAATATGTTGCACACGTTCATATGACATCTTACAGGTCTCAGCTATCTCACGCACTTTCAATCTGCGGTCTCCCAGCACTATTTGATGAATTTTTTCGATCATATCTGGAGTTGTGACCTCAACGGGGCGTCCTGAGCGAGGCCCATCAGAGGTGCTCACACGACCCTTTTTAAACTCGGAAACCCACTGCTTAACGGTTGAATATGACGGGGAGGATGTCCCCAGTGTTGAGTCCATCTCTTTTTTAATTTCCTTCGGCGTTAACCCCTTCAAATAAAAGTATTTGATGACAGCACGATTTTCCTGCTTTTCCATTTTTACGAAAACCACAGAGGCGTCTTGTTCAGCGTGCTGTCAAACCTACACTAGCAAGGAGATCGGGCTGAAACTATAGCTACAAGCTATCCAAGGATGGTACTATAGAATGTCACCTCAAGGTAGGCCTAGTGGCGTCATCTCTTGGTTAGGCCGGAAACTTATCAATCCACCCTCGTACTATCAGACCCGGCATTATTTTTCCGCACCACAGAAAGAATATGAAACGGACGAAACAACTGCCTTATACTTTGAGGTAAGTAAACGTTTGAATGACAACAAATGGTCTGGGAAGCCGATAAAGAAAGATATACGTGTGTAATTCAAAAGCCAAGTAAAAATAAATTCACTGATTTTAAATCGGAATATCAACAAAATTGATTTCAATTCATGAGGCCTTGAAGAAAGAAACACTGATGTTAAAAAAAAACACAAGTTAAATGCTGGTCCCTCATCAGTCTTCTTTTGGAATCGTGGGACTGGGTAGACAACGGTGATTTTTTACAAAAATTGACGTGCCTGAACGATGTTTCTAAGCATTCTATGTTTAAAAGTTTATTCCCAAACTGCGCCAGGAGATGTATCTCATCAGAAATCTTTAAATTTTACTGTATTTCATTCCCATTAGCTAATACTGGGAAGCTAACTGTCCCACCGACCTATACTCCTCAATTATTTTACAATGAAACCTCTTTTGAGGTAGATATTAAAACCCAGTCCTAAAATTAGTAGCTTCATATATAGATTTACGTCGTCAAAAACTGTC